GGTGCCACTATCTCCTGCAGGTTGCTCCCTCTCCTCGCCGCGCCGCTCACCGGGCGCTGCCCAGTGCCTCCCTCGATTCGAAGGCAGCACAGCAGCGTTACTCCAAAGCTTTGGGACCTCAGATTCTTGTCCCCATCATGGCATCAAGCGCGCTGCCACTGGAGCACTCCTTGTCCCGTCTGAAGTGACCGCGGGGCGGCATTACAGCTGGTGACATCTGCCACGCTTCAGGCGAGTGTTTTGGAGAAACAGCGGGGATTTCAGAGCAGCCCATGGTGGAGGCCATCCCTTGGCTGGTTTGGGAACCGGGCAGGACTGAGGTGGCAGGGAAGGCTTACCAGGGTCTAGGGCTTTTCGTTCGTCTTAATCGCAGTCCTCTTCTCACCGCCTTTCGCAGTGCTCGGCTCCGAACGACGGTGTTTCATTTCTCATTCAAACCCATCAAACCCACCAAACCCCCGGCGGGTCCCTGAAACCCAGACCAAAAATCCACCCTCCGGTACGTGGCTTCAGTGCCCCGGGGGGGGGTGGGGGGGGATGTTCTGGGCTTGGCACAGCCTCTCCTCTTCCTCCTCATCGCTGGTGTCCCCCCCCCCAACCCTTCCCTGATGTTCCCCAGCCCGTGAAAAGGGTTGACCTCCTTGTCATCTCCCAGTTCCCACATCTGGTTCTCGTTAGCGGATCCCAGGATGAAGTTCTTCAGCTCTCTCCCTTCCTCCCACCCCCAGGTGACCCAGGCAGGATTATGGGCGATTAGAAGACAGGCAACAGAGCAAGAATAGTTGGGGGAGGGACTGTTATAAATAGAAATACCATAAACTTATCAGCCTATCACTTGTGGTAAATTCTGGGTTTAATCTCTCAGACCTGTAAATATGACGACTCGCGGGGGCCAGACGCACCATTAACCCTTTCGGAGCCCCGGGGCCCATCTCTGATGGGAAGCGGGATGCGGCGGAGCACCTAAAAACAGGCCGGGGGAGCAAGTTCTCGAGCGGGGAGGTTGTCACCAGGAGGGACGAGCTGGCAGAGCCACGCCGTCAGAGCAGGGGCAGGGAGGAGACGGCGGCGCGGGAAGCACCTCCGGTCGGATGTCAGTCGTGTTTGGAGGTTTGGGGAAGGCAGAGAAAACCAGTCCAAACATTGGGATTCCTGACATTCTCACACGTACGGACGGGGGCCTCTGCTCGCCCGGCTCTGCTCACGGGGAGGGTGCTGCGGGTTTAACATCTTCTTGTTCTTCAGGCGAAGTTTAACTTTTTGGGGATCTCCTCGGCCCTTTGGCGAGGGAGGGGTGAGAAAGCGGAGCGGACGGAGGGGTGACGTGGCGTGAGAGCGGGGTGACAACATGGGGGCCGAGAGGAGGACCGGGACGTAGGGACCTGGCAGGTTTGGGACTTTCTCTGCAGCAGCACCACCGACTGAAGGAGTTGTGAAATGGAAGGTGGTCCTGGAAGAGTTTGCCCTGAGGAGACTCCGTGTCTGTACGGGGAGGGCAGCGTGGTCAAAGTGACCTCTTGGTCCTGGTACCCTCCTGCCCCGGGATGTTTGGTGTGTGCAGAGCGCGTTAATAAGGTGGTTTGGGAGATGGTTCTCTTTGGGCAGCTCTGCGGGTGCCTGCAGCGCCTCTCCTGGCTTGGTGCTCTGGGCTGGAGCTCATCCTGCTGAGCTTTGGGGACATCAAAGGGTGATGAGAACTCTCATATACTTAGAGCTGGCACAGAGGAGATGCTTTGTGGGGATTGCCGCTGTTCTTCCTGCGGCGAGAGGGCGAACGGGGGAGCTCAGAGCTTCCCTGGGTTCCTCCATCTCTCTTTTGCTGGGACGAGGAGATGTGGGGGTCCGTCTCCTGCGGAGCCGTGTGGGTGTGGAGCTTCCCAGGGTCCCTCCTCGGTGGCTTCCTCCTCCCTCCTAATCCCCGCTTCGGAGGGGGAGGGAGCGTTGTTAGTGTCGTTAGGAGCTCGTGACTCAATGGAGTAGTATTAGCTTTTAATTAATCACCTAAGCTGGCTTTTGGTAAGAGCCCGGCCTGCGCGGAAGCTACGGGTGGTGGGACATTCCTTGGGCAGGTCTGCCAGCGAGGCCCACTGCCTTGACATCCCCGTTTTCGCCCTAGCTGGCGCGAGTGCCTCTGTCCCCGCGAAGGGGGGAAAGTCCTTTCTTTTTAGTGGGCAGCCCCTTTCCCACGGCACACGCGCAGCCGGACCCCACCACGGCTGTTATCGCGTCTCAGCTCCTCAGCAGTGCAGCTGACGCACCTCCGGCGTCACGGCACTTATCTCACCCTTCGCCTGGGTCTCAGCTGAGGGCTCCTGAAGGTGACTTTTAAGACAAGGGAGCAAAGAAATGGGAAAGCCCAGCACACCGCTGTCTGTTGAGGGCCTCCTGTCCCTTCCGGGTAGGTCCTCTCGGCTCATCTTCTACCATGGAGAAGCTCCTGGAGATTGGAGGTGTGAGGGAAACGCAGTGGGGTGAGACTTTTCTTGGACAGGCTCCGTAGCTTGTGGAAAAGCAGCAAAATCGGTGAAGTGCCTTTTTTTTTTTTTGCTTCTTTGAACCTGGGTCCCAATCCTGGAACTTGGGATGAAGACGAGTTTTGTGATAGCTTTCGTGGTGGGTTTTTGCCAAACACGTCCTGTGGTTTATAGCGCGGTGTCTTTGGCCACGAGCGGGGCAGCGGAGAGGGGGGAGTGCTCACCCCCTCGCAGAAGGGCTTTGGCCAATGCGGAGGGGTCCCAGTGGCCAAGGAGCGGCTGCTTGTAGAAGAGATGGCTTGGGAGAGCCACGCGTGGTGAAGAGTCGGGAGCAGGCTATGGCAGATGTCCTTGGGGATGAGTGAAGGAGACAAGCACTCATGGTGCTGGCCATCGATGAGCTCTTCCAGTCATAGAATCATAGAATCGTTTTGGTTGGAAGAGACCTTTAAGATCATCAAGTCCAACCATTAACCCAGCACTGCCAAGTCCACCGCTAAACCACGTCCCTCAGCACCACGTCTATGTATCTTTTAAATACCTTCAGGGATGGTGACTCCACCGCTTCCCTGGCACAGGCTTGACAACACTTTTGGTGAAGGAATTTTTCCTAATATCCAATCTAAACCTCCCCTGGTGCAACTTGAGGCCGCTTCCTCTTGTCCTATCACTTGGTACTTGGGAGAAGAGGCCGACCTCCCCCTCACTACCCCCTCCTTTCAGGTAGTTGCGGAGTCATAAGGTCTCCCCTGAGCCTCCTTTTTTTCCAGAATAAACACCCCCAGTTCCCTCAGCCGCTCCTCGTAAGACATGTGCTCCAGACCCCTCACCAGCTCCGTTGCCCTTCTCTGGACACGCTCCAACACCTCAATGTCTTTCTTGTCATGTCAACCGTAACTCCAAGCAGGACGACGGCATGGTTGCTACCACGTCGCTGCAACTTCAGGAGAGGATGTGGCCGTCACAACGCGGCGCCCCTGTGCTGACCCGGGGTGCGCAACTCTATATGAGCGAGGTGCCGGCACAGCTCGAGACCTCACGGGCTCCGCCCGCCCTGTCTTCTTCTGCCTGGTGGCATGTCCCAGCTCCAGATGCATCCTTCCGTAGCAAGAGTTCCCATGGGGAGAGCATCACCCCCTTCTCCCCGCGAGTCCCCGGGCTCTGCCGCGGAGGCGCAGGGCGCACAAAGGGTTAGGTGTCGGGCGAGTGAATGGCTACGCATTTTTTTCCCCTTCTAGCCAGGGTTACTAAGGGAGAGATCCCTCCATCCGCGCGCACACACCCTGTCCGCTTGGCAGAATTCCTAGCTGGATTTATTTCTGCCGATTTGCTTGTCTTGGTATGAAAGGGATTTGCAGAGGGGAGAGCTGCAATTGGCCGGGGTTAGGTCGAAAACAACAAGCAAAAAAAAAAAAAAACCCCAAAAAAACCCCAAAAACCCCCGTTCTGGGTTTTGCGGTTCAACAGTTGACCTTTCCTCAGCGCATGGTCTGCGGAGAGGGGAGGGATGGGGGGAAGGTGAGGGGTCGGGGTCTTCTCCTAGCCGAGGGACGTCGTGCTTCGCCGTGGAGCCGCGGGGTCTTTCGGGAAGGGCCGTCTTCGTTATCTGAGCTCGGGGAGGTGGGGGGAGCTGGGGAGCTTCTCTTCCACTTTCTTGGCAGTGTCTTTGGCACCGAGGGCTGGCACCGACCCCAGAGAGCTGCAGACTCCCACTTCAGAGAGACAGATAAAGAAAGCACTTTCTGTCAACAAAACCCAGCCCAGCTTCCCCAGAACGGGAGAGAGGAGGAGGAGGAGGAGGAGGAACCCTCCAGGAGAAAGGAGAGGGAAGTCCACTGCTTGCCCGCGGAGGAGAGGAGAGGGAGGAGGGCTCCTACGGGGTCGGGAGCTCATCCAGAGCTGTCGTGGCAGCGGTGGAGAAATTCCAGGGCGCTCCACAAAGAGGAGGAAAGGATCCAAAGGGAAGGAAACCCTCTTTCCCGGAGCACCCCTTGAGCCCACGCCTCCGCGGGGAGCGATCTCTCCGGTGGGGAACCCCTCCATCAGCCCCAGCACGCCCAGCGGCGCCCGCAGCTTCGCTGACGAAGCTGTTGCAGGGCCACGTCAGCGCCCAAGTTGGTGGTGGTGGTTGGGCAAGACCTGGCTCTGGCGCTCTGTGGAGCCGTGTGTCTCACATAGCTCAAGCCTGACCCCGCGATCTCCCTTCTCCCACGTGTCCTGAGCCCGCTCCCGGGAAGCCCACGTGTCCCACAGCCAGAACGTGGCTCAAAAACTGCTGTAGACCAACCCCACCTGTGTGGTCCAACTTCCCAGGTAGTGCCACCACCCTGGCTTGTCCCACGCGTCCCATCTCTCTCTGGTTTTACGCTGGGTATGGACAGACGGCAGTCGCCAACCAAGGATCAGCTGGTTTTCTCAGATCAGTTTCTTGGCTCGGCAAAGGTCTGGTGGTGGTTCTGACCTGCAAAGCGAGGGCCTTTCGTGTCCTTCTCGGGGCTCACACTTCCACCTCCTCTCCCCTTGCAGGCCACGACATTAATGGAGCTCTGGAACCATCTAACATCGACACTAGCATCCTGGAAGAGTACATCAGCAAGGAGGACTCACCAGATATGTAAGTGCTCCCCTTGCTCCGCAGCAGGGACAGTGTTGGCTGGTGTTTTCTGTGGAGGGATGTCAAGCAATTTCCATCCTAGAGTCCTCCTCTATCGCTCTTCGCTCTTTTTCTCATTTCCAGTTCTTCCTCCTGTCTCTTCCTGGCTTCTTGCCTTTGAATTTCCCCGGTTTCTTCTGTCCCCTCTCTTTCTCCTCGAGACTTTTCCTTAATGTGAGCAACGGGAGAGCAAGCGCGAGGAGCTCGGTGGGGAAGATGAAATCCCCAGCGTAACACGAGCGTGGAGAAGGGCCGGGGTCTCCCCGCCTGCGCCGACACTGGCAGAGCCGGGGAGAGCGGACCTGGGTAGCCGTCAAGGTGACCTGGGCCGCAGGGTGGGAGCGGGACCTTTGGGGCTGCCGTGATACAGCGGCCAGTCTGTAAGCTGAAGCACGGTGAGCAGGTCTCGCTGTCTTCACAAGCTTTGAGGTTGGTGTCCTGCGCATTTTTGGCCTTTCCGGTTCCACAGGTGGATTTTGCACCTTTGGGGTTGGATCTGTCCCACCAACCCAGATGACGGACCTGCCTCCCTGTACGTTCCTGCTGGTGCCACCACAACGCTGCCTGTTTTGCCGTTATCTGGGGGTCCCAGAGCGCCCGAGCGGCTCCGTTCCTCGTTGCTGCATGGCTGGGGAGGGGAGGGGTGGGCAGAAAGTACCGTCTACCTGTCCCTCTGCTGAGGTTGTCCCCTTCTCTCTCTCAGCTGTTTCCCTGACATCCCTGCTTCAGCCAGCTATGCGCACCCCCAGCCCTCCAGCTCAACCGCCGTCAACCCGCCTCCTGCCAGCTCCATCGCCAATGTGACCAACCCCGCTTCCAGCGGTTCCCTCCACCTTCCACCCCCGGGCAGCCAGATCCCAATCCGTCATGGTCCTCTTCTGGCCAACCCTTGTGGACCCGGCTACGGTGCTCACCTCAACTGCAATAACAACAATGGCATGGTGGTGCCCAAGGGCTACCTCGGTGGCCACTGCCTAAACAACGTGGTCCCTCCAATCAAATCAGAGCCCAAGGCCTCCTACGCACCTGGGTAAGTGGGGCTGGGGTGGCAGAACAAGGGCAAGTGGTGGGACAAGTGGTTCTCCAGCCCGGTGGGCCCTGGAGGGTTGGTGTAGTTTGTCCCACAGTGCCTTAACTGGTGGTGATGTCGGTCTCTGTTAAGTCCTGGCGTCACAGAGAGATGCTTTTTTACAAGTGGAGGTCCTGAAGTTTCCTGGAAGGTTGTTTGGAAGTTCTTCTCTGTATGCATTGGGTTAGAGAGGGTCGGTGACATCCCCCCCGTCTGCAGGTGGTGGTAGGGCCGTGAGCTCTGGGTGACCGGGATGTCTGTGCTGCGCATCTCCCTGTGATAGGAGAATATTGTAGCACTGTATTTTATTTTTTTTTAAGAAGGAAGAGACACGGAATAAATTTGAACAAGACCAAATTCAGTCTCCAGGATGTTCCCATGACTATCCCAGGGGAAGATGTTGCCTAAACTGGGCAGAGAGATGGACTTCTCTTGACCTGATGTTGTAGGTACTCTGCTCAAGAGAAGGAAAAATGGCATCTGAGCTGGAGTTGTGCTCCGTTGCAACGTGCTCTGGATGCAGCCCTGGTGAAGGGGAAGAGCATGACCCGGTTTTAGTATTGCTGATGGACTCAACTGGGCGTTTAGTCCTGGCAGGAGAAAAGATGGGCTTCCTGCTCTCTGGGATGGCCTTGCCCAGAACGGGCAGGAAGGGAATGACCATGGCAGGCTGGGAGAGCGTGGCGACGTGGCAACAGCCATCTGCAGCGGCCGAAGGGGCCAGACAAGAGCCCGTGTCGGCAGAGAGCGCTTTGGCAGGCATGGCACGCGCAGAGGGTATGGTCCTACGGTGGTGTCTGGGATAGGGGCTGACACGCTTTACTGCCTGGAGACCCAAAGGGAAGAACGTCTCTGGTCTCTTACTCCTCGTGCTGATTGACGAGAAGCTCAACATGCGCCGGCAGTGCGCGATGGCAGCCCAGAGGGCCAACCGTATCCCGGGCTGCATCAGACGAAGTGTGGCCAGCAGGGCGAGGGGGGGATTGCGCCCCTCGCCTCTGCTCTGGGGAGACCCCACCTGGAGTACTGCCTCCAGCTCTGGAGCCCCCAACATAGGAAAGACATGGAGCTGTTGGAGTGGGGCCAGAGGAGGCCCCGGAGATGCCGGGAGGGCTGGAGCCCCTCTGCTGGGAGGACAGGCTGGGAGAGTTGGGGGCGTTCAGCCTGGAGAAGAGAAGGCAAAAATGGGAGACCTCAGAGCCCCTTCCAGTCCCTAAAGGGGCTCCAGGAGAGCTGGGGGGGGACTTCTTAAAAGGGTATGTGATAGGACGAGAGGGAATGGCTTCAAACTGGAAGAGGGGAGATTTAGATGAGATCTTAGGAAGAAATTGTTGCCTGTGCGGGTGGTGATCCCCTGGGGCAGGTTGCCCCGAGAAGCTGTGGCTGCCCCATCCCTGGAGGTGTTCAAGGCCAGGTTGGACGGGGCTTGGAGCAACCTGATCTAGTTGAAAATGTCCCTGCCCAGGGCAGGGGGTGGAACTGGAGGGTCTTCAAGGTCCCTTCCAACCCAAACCATTCTGTGATTCTGTGTAACTCTCTGGTCTGTGGTGCTCTCCCCAAGTCACAGGGGAGTGAAACAAGAAGATGATCTGAAGCTGGACAGATGGAAATGAGTGTGCAGCAGCGTATTCATCAGCAGGAGGCCTTGACGGTTGGCAACAGTCACACCAGGAGGAGCTGTGCCATGGCCCAACCTGCGGCCACAGGTGATGGGTGGCCCCGGAGCACTCTCTGCACAACCAATCTCTGGGTCTTCTCCACTGGAGATGGTGGATGTATGGGGTGAGGAGGCCAGGACGGCCCCAGGACTGCTCATCTCTGCAAGCCCCCGGCTGGCTTTTCTCCCTCTGCCTTGTGCCCTCTAGTGTTGCCAGCAAGTACGGCGTGACAATTCCCAGGTTGGGAAGCCTCCAGCACGCTGATCCAATGATTCAGCTCCGTTGAGATGACTTTAGCCCTTTGGATGAACTTGGAAAGATCGTCCAGAAAGAGACAAGCTAAATAAAATCTCCCCTTTTTTATTCCCAGACCTGGGAGTTCTCCTTTGCCCAGAAGGCTACGTGCTGCTTAGGGGGAGCCGTGCCCAAAAGCATGACGGGATGCCTTGGCATGTCCCTTTCTTCTGCATGCGTCTGGCGTTCTCCAGGACGTGAGAGGTCATGAGTAAGGATCATGGCTTGCCGTTAGAGGTGGAGACCTTGGTTTGGATGCAAATGAACCGGGTCAGCTTTGATAGCGGCGTTTCTTCAGCGTCCCAGAATGACTCTTCCCCATTGTACTAGGCTTTTCCTGGAGGAGCGATGTCTTGCGTGTTGGATACCAACAAAATCTTCCCTTGGACTGGGCACATCCACACTACCTCCCTACGTGAATTCTGCAGTGTCCACCTTTCTGCCCCAAGCCTTTTCCAGCCTCCAGAATTCCCTGAATTGCCCCGGGCCCTTGTTATTGGCCAAAACTTAACTTGCTGAGGCACAAATCCTCATAAGTTCATGGGAAATACAATAGGAAGTCATGGCCAGCGTGGCGAGGAGCCTGGAACTAAAGCTGGTGATGGATGCTCCAGACCAAGCGTAGGAAGAGAGCGGTGGAAAGGTGCTACGAGTGAAGGTGGAGGTTGAGGGAAGCATGGTGAGGGCTCTTTGTTGGGGTTACCCTGCCTCGTCCTTCTCCAGCTACTGCTGTGGAGAACCCATTTACTGGGTCTTGGGCTCCTCCGGTGCTGGTGGGTGTCCTGGTTCGCAGCTGTAGCTGCGGGTGCCGTCAGGAGCAGAGTTTCAGAGAGTCGTGAGCGTGGTGGCCTGCCCCTTTCCTCCCCGCAGCCCTAAGGCCCTTGTTTGCCCTTTTGGCCAGCTTTCATCTGAGCAGCACTGGTTTGTCTGGGATTATTTTGCAGCCACGGAGCTGGTGGTGTAAAACAGGGGGGGATGGAAGAGGCGCCCTGTTGAAAATCCAGTTGTGATGAAGAACGAGGTGTCAGGAGGTGGGGAGGAAAACAGCCAGGGTTCGTCTTCGATGGAGCAGACGTTGCCGAGGTTCTGAGCTGTTGAAACCTTCTGGGACTCGCTGAGGCTGTGTGACACCGACAAGACCAGATATGAACGGGTAGAATCTCCCCGCCGAAGGTCTCCAGAGGATGGAGCAGGCTGCAGGCGCTGAGGTGAAATGAGCTCTTCACTAGAGCGTAGGCAACGACTGCTCCGGCCACCAGGGCCACCGTCCCCCTACCCGTCTCCGCCACAGCTTTGCCTTGCAGCGGCCGTGGCTCAGCCTAGCTGGGAGCAGGACCTCAACATTTTCCGTAGGCTTGATCTCCAAAACGCTGCTAGAGAAGAACCAGTGTGTGGGACAGGGAAGTCCTTTTACTGATGCGCCAGGGTGGTGGAAATTTTACCCTGCGTGAGGCCCAAGCTTCTGCTGCGGTGGGACACGTGTCGAGGAGGGGGCTGCGAAGAGAAAGAAGAAAAGTTGGTTCGCGTGAATTTCCAAGGAGGTACTTCAGAAATGGCTGAGGAGTCAGCTGGTTTGAGCTGGAGTAAGGAGATGCAGGAGGTAACCTGCAGTGCCACCGCACGCGACAGGGCTGGTCCTCGGTCCTGCCGTCCCCCGAGCCATGGGCGGGCTGGAGAAGGCAGCTGAGAGCTCTCCCTTTTATTTGGTGGCATTCGGCGCCAAATCCTGCTCCTGGTGACGGCGGAGTAGAGCCGGGGCGACACAGCCAGCAGCTGTGGTGGCGCTCAGGTTCGTACAGGTCACAAGGCAGAATCCATCCCGTGGGCATCCAAACCTTCACCTTTGGGCACCAGATCCCCCCCCCACCCCCCACCCCGGAGCCTCCCATTTACCCGTGGCGAAGCACAGGGTCTTTTTCCAGGGAAACGGAGAAATTTCTGTTTGGCTTCTGTTAAACTGGAGGGCTCTCCTCGGCGGGTCAACAAAATGCCTGTCCCTGCTCCTGAGGTCCCAACTGTGGGGAAGGGGGTAGCAGGGACAATCCCGAGCTCGTCCTGGGGGTGACGGGGATCTGCCGCAGGCACGGCTGGGATTTCCAACCGGAGCCTGGAGGGATCAAACCGGACCTATGGGTTGTGCTGGAAGTTGGTTTAAAATGACCTTCCCTTCTCTTTTCCCCCGTTGCTCCGCAGCACTTTACCTGACTCTCCCCCGGATTCGGGATCAGAAGCGTATTCCCCTCAGCAGGTGAACGGTAAGTGCTTGAGAGAGAGAGAGAGAGAGAGGAGCCAGAGAGGGGGGATAATAATAATAATAATAATAATGATAATAATAATCATCATCCAAACCCCAAACCCAACATCCTCCCCCCTCTTTGTTCCGTGCAAGTGGTTGGCTCTGAAATCTTTATCAGACGGGAGAAAACAGGCGGCTGCAATACGTGGGGAGATTATCAGTTAGTAAATATCCCTAGACTTTCGCCTATTGTTCTGCTGCCGGTCTTTGCAAGGGGGGAGAGCGAGCGAGCGAGGGAACGGGAGAGAAGGCGAGGTGGGAATCCGCTTCTACGGGGAGAGATCGGCGGCGTGGCTTGTCCCCGGGCAGGGTGGGATGTGGAACCTCCGAACCTCCTCCTCCTCCTGCCCTCCGCCGAGGGAAAGGCGAGGAGCGTGAGCGCGTCCCGGACATGGAGCCCGGCTCCGGGAGACAGATATGAACCCGCCGGTCAGCAGTAAGTTCTTTCCCAGCCCTTCCCTCTCCTCCAGTGGGACCAGTTCATCTTGGGGGGGATCTTCTGCTCCCCCCTGCAATGAGCAGATAGAGCCGGGTCGCCCCACGTGCCGGCAGGGTCACTGCCGGACCTTTTCTGGCTCCTCCTGGGGAAGCCAGCGAGCGTTGGTTGGTTCCTCTGGTGACCTTCACTGCTCTTTGGTGGAAGAAACTCCTTGGGGAGGAAGGAAGGTTGCTTCTGGTCTCCCTTCCCCCTCGGCAGCAGCACCCTCTTCCCCAGGCTCCAGCCCAATCCCCACCAGGAACAGCGCCTGCTCTTTTCTTCTTTTTTTTTTTTTTTTTTTTTTTTTTTTTTTGATGGAAAAGAACAAGAGTTCTGTTTATCTTGCTAAAAAAAATCCCTGGAATTCCTCCTGGCCCTTCCTTAAATATAACAAAGAGGCCGGGTTGCTCAGCGCAGGAGAGAGCTGCTTTCACCTCTGCTTGGGGAGGAGAAGAGGCTCCGGAGAGCCCTCGGGAAGCAGCTCCTCCCTCCTGAGATTCCCAGACCTGGTCGTCCCTTGGAGCTGGGAGCACAGAGCATGAGTCCTGCATTTGGAAAATGCATCGTCCCCTGTCCCCACCCTGGTTAGAAGCCCGTGGACATTGCCGTGTGCTGTGGACAAGGTGGAGATGCAGCGTCTGCTGTGAGGACGTGTTCTCGGCCGCTCGTGCATGGGTTGTCCCTCAAAAGCTGCGCGAGGTCTCCCAGCTTGTGCCTGAGCCACCAGTGCCGAGGCTGACCGAGCTGCGGGGTCAGGACGTTCACTTAAGATGTTGTCAAGATGGGTTTCCGGCAGCGGCAACGCTGCCTTCTTGAGCTTTGGTAGTCTTTGCTCCCAGTTACGGGGGTGGAAGTTGAGCGCTGGTCAGGGTGGTGAGAGCAGAGGTGGGGAAAGGGGATGGTGTGCCCGATACCGCCACTACCCAGCTGAAAAGCAGAGGGATGCTCTGTCCCAGGGATGTCACCTCTCAGCCCTGGCTATTGCGTGAAGGCAAGGTCCTGATCTCCAAACTCCAGAGGATGGAGACCTCTCCTCCTCCTCGAAGCCCTGCTGCTTGGCTAGGCTGTCCTTGAGATGGCTCCAGAAGGCAGGCTGGCCCCGGAGCAGGACCCCGCCTGCGAGCATGGGCAGAGGATTCCAGTTCGATTTGCGCTGGAAAAGGGCACTGAGAGATCTCGGTGGGCAGCAGAAGGCCTTTGAGTGGAGCAGAACGGGTGGGTGGCCCTGCCCCGGCAGCCTGCAGTAGGAGGACTCAGCGTAAATATGTTTCGCTTCTCCAGACCTTGCAATGGGAGGAGTTTTCTGAGTCCTGGTCAAGCGCTTTGGCCTCATTAGTCAACCACTGACTGGTTGTTCCGAGACCAAAGTCCATCCAGCCCAGTGTGGGTGGCTCAAGCCTGGTTGGTGGCACCTGCTATGGGGAGCAACCTGGCCAAACCCAGCAGATCTCTTCCCTGCTATCCCCCTCCGTGTCCCCGTGGTCCATGACAGGCTTGGCCGGACCCTGGCTGTGTTTCCTCCCTCCTGCGATTTGCTGGTGCTTAAACATAATGGGATGTCCACAGCGGGGTGCAAAGAAGCTTTGTCTTACACCCCATGGCCAAGCGTCCGGGGATGCAGTCCCTCATTTCCGTGGGGACTTTGGTACCCCGTGGGGACACCTGAACGTGCAGCCTAAGGCGGACACACCTCCAGCAAAGGCTGCAAAAACAGATGAGCTTTGGCCTGTTGAAGAAAAGATGGGTGGAGGCTGGTTTGGTGGGGCTGGAGACCAGGCCGCGTGTCTCCCACGGGCAGGGAACGCCAGCGAGGAGCTCCTGTTCGGAGGCGGTGGCTCGAGCCGCACCGTTTCGTGACTGCCGGTTCCAGTTTCTCGTAGGTGATGTGCTTCGGGTGGGCATCAGCACCCGTCTCGCTACCAGGTTTTGACCAAACCTGTCCAAACGGGCTTTGTCGGCGCAGATGTGGTGCCCTGGATCCTGGGAAGGTCTCAGGAGGGTCACATGAGTTTAGCTGATTTTATTTTTTTTTTTTTGGTGGCGTTTAAAGGACCGTGCTGTCAGTCTCCTGAGCAAGCACGGGGTTTTGGAGCACGGTTGAGATCTTCTGGTTTAGTGCTAGGATGGAAGGGAAGGACTTCCATGCAGGAGAAATGGTGAACTTCCACATGAGGCTTCCGTTACCCGCTTCTCCAGGTACGGAGAACACCTCAAATTCCCACTCATCCACATCCAGGGCGTTCGCTCACATTTTCCTGGGAGATTTTCCTGGGAAAACTCGTAAACTCGTATTTTTCTCCGCCTGACGTCTTTGGCCTGCGCTGGTCTGAAACATGTTCTCTCACGTGTGAGATCTTGAGTGCTGAGATTTTTCCGTGCACCTATTTTCTTGCGTGGATCTGCTGACGGTCCGTCAGCTCGTTTCTCACACGTCTTGCGCGTGACCATCCTTTTCCTTTTCCTGTATTTTTTTTCTTTTTTCCACTGCGTTTCTTCGCTTGCAGAACCTCGCTGGGGAAAGGTTTGATTTTTGCGTGTTCCAGGTAAAAAGTTCCTTCTCTTTACACTTTTTTTCTCCTCTTCACGGCTTCTGCAGCGAGAACGGAGAAGCTGGAAGAAGTTGCAATTCGTCACACTCAGATCTTTGCCTTCCACTTGCCCACGGCACAAGCTCGCTCTTTGTTGAGGGTGCATTAAAGCCTTAAAAATAAGCTGCTGAAATGATGCCAGCGCTGACGATTCCCAGAAAGTTTGAGCGGGCGCTTAATCGTGTCGTTATGGCCCAGTTGCGATGAGAGCGGTGTTAGAACTTCCCCGGTGCGGTCACTGGTGCGCTCAGTTCTTCCGTGCTGTCGGCGCTGTCGTACAAAGTCCTAAATTCGGAGAAGACAGAAATCGTGTCCTGCTCTGTCTGAGATGAGCGCCGAGCCTGTTCAGGTCGCGCCAACGCGTCGGCTTTTCTCACCAGCGCGTGTGTTTTTCTTCAGTAAAATCGCTCAGATTGTTTCCTTTGGGCAAATGGCTGATTTCTAGTCATTCTCGAGGCGTGTTGGGTGAGAATCAACCACCTTGCTTTACTTCCCCCACTTTGCTTTTTGCTCTTAGCCTCCGGAAATGTTTCGGTTCTAGTTAAAGCCCTCGGCTGAGCGCTGTGCGTCGAGTTTATGGGCAGTTGGAGAAAGGGAGGTGGATTTGCGTGCCCCTCCGCCCACCGAGCGTTGCTTTTCATGGCGATATCGCCAAATCGACCCTAATCGTGGCAGGGCTTCGGTATCCGATTCCAAAGAGAGGTGGAAAAAGGTGGGATCTCATTTGAATGTCCCTTTTTGTTTATTTAAATGTAGAGATCAAAGTCTCCTTCTGGTTTAAATTTAAAAAAAAAAAAGAAAACCAAACAAGTAAGTGCCCCACCAGAAGTCCTCAGAGGTGATGCTGATGAGCTGGAGGTGTTGGGGTCATTCAGTTGTCCCTTCTTTTCTTTGGTTGTTCCATGCCTGTCTCTGCTCTCGTTGGAGAAGAGCACAACAAGTGTCCTTGCACGATGGTGCTCCAACACAATGATGAGTCTTCTTTGGTGCCTCTGGCCCAAGCTGGCTGTGGGCCTCCTGGAGACATCTCTCTGGTGGGACTGTAGAGAAGACCAAGCGACGCACCGCGCTCGGACCCCGAGCTCTCAGCTGACCCATGGGCTGAATGTGGCCCACAGCTACGAGGAGCTCTGGCATCATGAAGTGGTTCTTCTTTGCCACAGGAGCGTATTGTTGGGCACTTTCTTCAGGCCGTGCCCAGAACTGGTAAAATTCGGCAAAGTTCAGGTGCTTTCTCTCCAGCTCTGCATTTCCAGGCGCAGGCTTCAGACCCCGTTGCTGACCTTTGCCCGCAACTTGGGCTTTCTTGGTCCTCGCAGTTCCTCGGTGCTACAGGAATATTGTGGTTGACGGGTTTTCGATTCGAAGGGAAATACAAAGATGACACGAAAGGTGCTTGGGGAATCCTGAAGACGTGCTTTCCCCACAGAGCATCCACGCGAGGCACTAAGTTTAGCAAATATCGGGAACGTTTGTGAGCGTCTTCCCTCTTGTCCCTCAGCCTTGAGGAACTGGTTGCCCTTTGAGTTTCGGTTCTTCGAGCTTCAAGATGCTGGGCCTCGCCCGCTTCCTTTGTGCTTACCCCTTCCAGTCTCACCTCTTCTCAGAAGACGTACGGTACGAGACACCCAGTTTCGTAGTGTTGCGTGTCCCTTTATCCCCTGGCCAGCCAGAACCCTGCTGTGTCATCACTCTGGAGATACCGCTTGGACAGAGGGTGTCTGAAGTTGACAGCAACGGCCGCAGACATGAGAAGGGAAGCACTGCTGTGGCTCTCGTGCTGGGGAGACCTGGGGGTGTCTGTGGGGTGCTGGGGCCATTAAGGAACCTAGGAGGAGAAGTCAGTGCAGGGCAAGGTGACCATCGCGAGGCGGATGGGGTGGCTGTGGGGACACGGCCGTGCTGAGGCGAGGCAGCAGGGGCATGGAGGTACAGGTTCATGGAGATAAGCGTGGTTGGGATGGTTCACAGGGAGAACATCTGTGCTGGTCAGAGGCTTAGGACACGCAACGCGTGACCCTACCTGCTGGTCTAACCACTATCACTCTTTCGTTCAAGATCCTCACCTCCTCCGGACCATGACCCCCGAAAACATGTGCCACATGACTCCCCCTTCTCGCCTGGAGCATCCGCCGCCGCCGCCGCCCCCTCCACCTCCCCACCCCGGCCTCAGCGGGACATGTTCATGAAGGCTGAGCCCCTCATGCCGCCCTACGGCATCGGGCAGGGCATGGCGCCCGCCGACCTCCACCATGCCCAGCAGTCGCAGATGCTGCACCAGTTACTCCAGCAACATGGAGCAGAGTAAGGCCTCGGGGCTCTGGGGCTGTGCAGCGTTATTTGGGGAAGCGGGAGGGGGTGGGGGGAGGAGGGAATGGGAGGTTGGAGGCTCGCAGAACGCAAGAGCAAAATTATTGGGTTTAACTGCAAGTTGTGGTTGTGTGGGAGCGAGCTGGGGAGGCATCGAGGTGGAGATGTGGAGGTAGTCTGGAGGAGGACCACAGAGATGCCGCGAGGGCTGGTGCCCCTCTGCTGGGAGGACAGGCTGGGAGAGTTGGGGGGTTCAGCCTGGAGAAGAGAAGGCGAAAAAGGGGAGACCTCAGAGCCCCTTCCAGTGCCTAAAGGGGCTCCAGGAGAGCTGGGGAGGGACTTTTTACAAGGGCATGGAGTGATGGGATGAGGGGGAATGGGTTCAAACTGGAAGAGGGGAGATTTAGCTGAGATATCAGGAAGAAATTGTTGCCTGTGAGGGTGGTGATCCCCTGGGGCAGGTTGCCCCGAGAAGCTGTGGCTGCCCCATCCCTGGAGGTGTCCAAGGCCAGGTTGGACGGGGCTTGGAGCAACCTGGGCTGGTGGGAGGTGTCCCTGCCCAGGGCAGGGGGTGGGAACTAGATAGCCTTTAAGGTCCCTTCCAACTCTAACCATTCTATGAGATGGCCCAAAGTGTGGCGCAGGGTTCTGCAGCGCACGGCTCGGAGTTGGGCGGTGGGACCAGACAAGAGGAAAGCAAAGACGTGGCTCAGTGGACGGATGGCACAGAGCGTGGCGGTCACGGGGGTGGGTGGGAGAAGGTGGTTGGCGGTCCTGAAAGAGCCCGTGGCTCCCTGCGTTGAAGGTTTCGGTTTTTCTGTGGCATCCCAGCTTTTTCCTGGGGATGGGCTTGTGGGGCTGTTCCCTCCCCACCTCTTGCTTTTCCCGCTCAGCCTTTCCTCGCCCGCGGGTCTCTGCAGCCTCCCGGTGCACCCTGCCAAGAAGCGGAAACACTCCGAGTCCCCCCCCAACACCCTCAACGCACAGATGCTCAACGGGCTGATAAAGCAAGAGCCGGGTATGGGGACCGTGCCGCTCAACCCTGACAGAGTCCAAACTCCTCCCTGGCACCAGCCGGGACCGCTCTCACCAGGTAGGTAGGGTTTTTCCCCCCACCTCCCCAGTCCCTTTCTCCTTAATACCCCCAGTATGCAAACCCCGGGCACACCGCTGGGCCGGGCCGCTTGGGAGGAGAGCACGTGGCCACCGTAGGGCGCCAACCTTAGAGAAAAGAAGATTGAGGGGGGGATCTCATTAACGCTTACGAAGAGTTAAAGGGAGGGTGCCAGGGGGATGGGAGCAGTCTTTTCTCAGTGGTGCCCAGTGATAGGACGAGGGGTGACGGGCACAAGCTTGACCATAGGAAGTTTCATCTTAACATGAGGAGGAACTTCTTGACTTTGAGGGTGGCAGAGCAGTGGCACAGGCTGCCCAGAGAGGTGGGGGAGTCTCCCCCTCTGGAGCCATCCCAAACCCGCCTGGACGCCGTCCTGTGCCACTGCTTGAGGTGCCCCTGCTCTGCCGGGGGAGGTTGGACTGGATGATCTGCAGAGGTCCCTTCCAACCCTGACCATTCTGTGATTCTGGGTTCACCCCAACTCTCCCAGGAGGCTGAGCTCATCCTGACCCATATCTCATGCCCGTGACGGTGTCCCGGCAGTCAGGAGTGAAGCTTCAGGCTGGCCGCGCAACGCCGGTGGCTTCCTTCTGCTCTTACCCAGCTGGAGGCTCTGTCGGAGTGATTGACGTGGGTATTTTGCCCTCACCACAGGCCTGATTCAAGATAACGACAGCTTGAATGGCTCCTACCTGGATCCCAACTACCAGTCGATAAAGTGGCAGCCGCACCAGCAGAACAAGTGGGCGACTCTGTACGATGCCAACTACAAAGAACTGTGAGTAATTCATCCACCTTTGGAGAAAGTCAGATTCACCTCTCGTGTATCGGTGGCAACGTGGGGTCGAGGGAATCGTACTCCCAACACGGGACGGGGATCTTCTGGGCTTCCCCTCGTCCTCTCCCATCACCGGCTGATCTCTGCTCGCCTGCGCTGCGGTGGAGATACTCTCCCCGCTGTGCCGTTGCCATTGGGAAAGTTACTTCTCCGCACTTCTGCGGGGCTGATGGAGGGTTACGAAATGGGGCTGGCTCTGGAGGAGCCAGAAGCAGGCAGTTTGGTGGTGGCGGTGCA